CCCCCCGCCACAGCCTCGTCTGCACCATAGGTGCTCACCCAGCCGGAGGCCAGGGCGCTCACGGTCCTGGCACAACCGACCCACTCGCCTGAGAGAAACCACCAGTGGGGGTGGATTAAAGGAGCTTTTCACGCTAAAGGGCCCCCGTGCAGGGCTGCAGCCGAGGCCACCTCCACCAGAAACGGGCCCAGGCGCTCGCACCAGGCGGAAGGCAGCGGTCACCATCTCCAGGCTAGAGAAACACGGGCTGGCTTCCCCTGCCCGTCCCCAGGAGACCCCAGGCAGAGCCGGGAGACCCCTGCAGCTACTTCTCCGTCACAACTTCCGAGCAAAGCAGGCAGATGGATCATCTAGCCCAGAGGAAAGACAAGCCAAGCAGGGAAATTTTCTAACCCACCCTGCAAGGCCCAAGTAGTCCTGCAAAGGAGGAGAAAGGCCTCGGAGTTCACAGATCCTTCCTCACCAGCAGGTGCTGGTCCAGGGAGCCCGAGGAGAGCAGGAGGGAAAGGAAGCAGACAGTCGGCCTGAGCCGTCCAGCTCCCAGAAGGCCATAGCTTTCCATTTGTTTGTGTCACATCCCATCCCAAATGTATGACATGAAGCAATCAGAGATATATTTCACCCTGTAAAAGTGACTTCCTCCCCGCTGCCATATCCCTAAACGCTGCCTAAAACCCTCCCTGCTATGCCTTGCAGCTAGAGATACAGTCAGTGGACTGGCATGGGGCCATGCTCAGCATTAATATCCTTTCCCCCCACACACCCCAGCTATTTATAGACTAAGCCACATTGCAATCTGCCAGTTCATAAATCGGTAGCGCAGACTTTTGCAAAACTTAACATGAGACCAGTGACCCAGCACAACAGCTGTCCAAAATAAACTCTGCCAGGGGGACCCCAGGCATCTCTCCCCAGAGCAATAGGGGGACAGGTAATTCCTCTTTTACAAAAAGGTCAGTGCAACAACAGGGTCCTGCGCACACTAAAACGAATGCCCTCGCTCCCCCCGTGCAACGCAAGCTCGCTAGGAAAGGCATTCACATCATCTTCGGCTCAGCCTTCCCGGCAGGGGCTCGGCCTGTTCGGTATCAACTCAACGCAAGGGGAAGGGTTAGCCAAGGCCAGCCGATATCCCAAGGTGCGGCTCCAGAGATGTGGTAGCAAATAACCAGAAACACCTCGGTTATTTTTCCTGCTACAGGTTAGGCTTCTTAACAGGAAGATACTGAAGCCCAGCACGTGCTCAGGGAGTATCACCCCACACACAGCTCTGCCAGCTCTTCTCAGCCCTGATGTACTGCACCGTCTCCTTTCCTGGTTACCCACAGCCTGCCAAAGCACCCGAGCTGCTCCCGGTCCCCACCACAGCCTCCTCCACCTTGACCAGAGTTTTTAAGAAAGGAGCCCATTTTCCTTCAAAGGGCCAAACAGCCAGGGAAAAAAAAAACAACAAACCAACAAACCACCCCGAAGCAGACACAGAAACATCTTCAGGGACCAGCATCCTTTCTCTCAACCTACTCTGAAGTAGAGATCCCCCCCAAACCTCCCTCATTCAATAATCCAGTCTACCAGAGCTCTCCTAAGCCAGTAAATCTCAAAACCTCAAAAGACAGAGAGGAACAAGCTTTCTGAAGCAGCCCAGCCAACCCTCACGCCTCCTGCCCCATCTTTACGACTCTTCCCACCTCCCTCCCGCAGACACTTTGTCTCTGTGCCCATCATTAGCCTGCAAAGCAGGCAGGCAGAGCACCAGGCAGGGTGCCGGCAGCTGTTAGGGATCCACACCAGATACAAACTTTCTCCACCGCTTTCTCCTTAACACTTTCTGGCATCTCATGCCTTCCGATGGCCTCAGCCTCACTCCCACCTCGGGCTTCATCCAAACCTGGACGGCATTGGTCTAGCCACAGCCCCAGTGCACCTCCTCACGAGGAGTGAGGCAGCATTTTAGTATCAGAAAAATGGGAAGAGAAACATTACCGTGAGAAGTGGGGCTGTGTTTCAGCAACAAATACTCCTAAGAGTCAAATCGCCCTCCCCAAAAGGCTACCAAAAGCAATTTGGTCAGTGTGAAGAACAGGCCAAAGAGTGTCTGAGCGCCTGCATCCCACGGCCTAAGCCAGTTCATGTCAGCGCAAACAAAAGCCCCCAGCCCCCAAACCCCTGGTGTGCTGAAACCTTCTCCGTGCAGCTGTCCCCGACCTCGCTGCCCTCCCTGGGCTTCTCTGCAGCTGATCCCGGTTCCTGGCCCACGGGGGACTTTGCAAAACCTTCTGAAATGCCGTCTTCGGTGGAGCTATGGGGTTAGAGACGAAGGCGGCCGCAATGGTTCTGCCCGCGCGAGGTTACCGAGAGGGGCCGGGGTCCTGCCTGCCCGGGGAGGCTGGGCAGCCTCTGCCC